AATACGCGGTCGGTATTGCTTATTAGTTAAAAACGACAACCCTCATAACTCAGCGTTCTCGTAATACGTCAAACGTCGGGAAGCGCCGGTAGTTCGCGGGGCTCGCTCCATTAATAATCTAACGCTCGGTCGGCCGAAGCTAATGACTTTTCTCGAACTTTGGACGTTAACTCCGGCGCATCGATTATTATTTAGCGCGTAACGCCGCGCTCGCACCGTCCGTCGCGCCGCGCCGCCGCCGCGCCGCGCTCGAATCGGCGTTACAAGCGCGGCTACATCGCGTCGCGAGCGGTGCGAGCAAACGATAAAATTATATTGCCCGATAAATTTCGCGCCCCGCTTCCCAGAAAAGCTCTCGTATTAATGGCGACTCGAGGAACCCGAGCTCCTTCCGAGCGGAACCAGACTCGGCTTTAGCCCCGGTTTACACGCTGTGCTTTTTTACTAGCGGCTAGAGAATTAGTAGCCGGAGAAAAAGCGGCTCGGAGCATACACCTTGCCCGAAAAACCGGGCTAGTTTATTAGCGCGCTAAATTACGCGATGCGTTTTTAACCAGTAATTAGTGCGGTGGTACTCTTTTTGGAAGTAATAAGTCAGATAAAAATTTGTGAAGTTTTGTTACGGTCGTGGTACAAAAAGCCAAAGATTTTGTATGTTACCTTTTATAAAATACTATTATATATAAATCGTAAAATTTTGAAAAAAATCGAGGAAGCTTTCACCGCGCCGGACAATGGGATTTAAATCTCTACTCTTCAATGACATATATTGGAAGCAAGGGTAACCCTTGAGATCGTAAACTGTCGCAATGGCTCGTTTACAACACTTTATGTAACTTTACTTTTGAAAAATTTGTCAAATTTTATGCCTATTGTCAAAAGCTTTGTGAATAAAATAGGACTTATAAATTCTTACATCGAGTGATTTAGCGAAGGTTGCAAATAGTTTAGCGTTTTGGTAGTTCTTTCTTAAACGTTGAATTGAATAATTGTATGATATTAAAAATTCTGTTTGATATTAAAAAAAAATACGTGTAATCCAGATGCTGATTCAGAAACAAGAATGGAGGCACTTCTTCTCTCGTTATTTTTTTCTTGCACGCACGTAACATAATACCCTTGCGGCGGTTTTTCGCGTCTCCGTCACTTAAATTCACGCCGACCATATCGATGTCTTTATTAATGAATCTTGGTACCGGTGCGAGACCGGGCCACACCGCGGCTGGAAAAGCAGGGGCTTCGCCGCGTGCCCCGCGTACCCGCGGGGGACTGGAAATCTGAATCGACGCTGATTGGGAGAACCCGCGCGTTCTCCGGCTCGCCGAACTCGGCATCGTCCGAAAAATCCGGCGCGATGAATAGGCGTTCCAGGAACGTGTTTCGACTCGCGGCGTGCCCCGCGATCGCAGAAGAATAGCCGGGCCCGAGAAAAGAATTAACGTGCCGCGGGGAATAGATCGTGATCGCCGGCGTCGCAGAATAATTCGCCGCTCGGCGCTGGGTTCCCTTTCCCTCGGCTCCGTGAAATACAGGTTCTAACCCTTTGCTCAGCATCCCGTGAGCGTTCATTCGCAACGTAAAGTTAGAGCAGTAAAATATTATCGTACGACTTTCAATTTGTAGGAACATTTGAAGGCGCAATTTCGAATAACGTTCCGCACCAACTATTCCGATACATAATAACTTCGATATCAATAAATAATAAGTTTTTGTAACGTTCCCCGAGAAACCGTGAAGAATCGAGGCGTAATAGCTCACGTCGTGCTTTGGTATATTGGACAAAGAACAGTGTTTGCTCGTTCTTTTAAATTATGTTCGAAGAGCTATCGCCTCGGCCTTTGTTGTCGAATTCTGCTTAACAGTCTTCTTGTAAATGCCGATGGACATGTACCAAAATATATAACGGCCATAAATTAGTGTCATCTCAGTTAGTACGTAGAATAATGTCTGTGCTTACGCACATACATATATGAATGTGTGTGTGTGTGTGTGTGTTTTAAACAATATAATTGAAGTTATAGTCAATGTATTTTTGTGTTATTTCTAAAAGAACTTTCTAATAATAAATACTAACTAGGTAGATTTAATATTTTACGTTAAACAATTTATCCATTCCATGTTTCTTCTTTGAAAGTTATCATTATTTTCATATGTTATATATATCATTATTTTTTATATGTTCGCTTATAATGCATAAATAATTTTAAAATACATTATTATCATGTTTCATTTAAAATTAATTGGGATAATTTGCATTACTGCGTGATGATAAAAGGATTACGCGGGAGTCCTTAATGATTTTGGCAATTCAAAAATATATTGGATAATTAAATGACTTTACAAGTCGATTCAACCCCGAATTTGAATGGTGATGCTGTCATGTGTATACACTGTAAATCACTGTGCGTGAGAGTATGCGTAACGTGCTGCATAAAATGTATAGACCGAATTAAAAAAAAAAACAACGGAAAAAGAAATGAGAAACACGTTTTCGTGTCGGACGGAGAATTAGAAGAAGAGGCACACACACACACACACACACACACACACACATACATACGCGCACAGAGTGTTGGAGAAAGCGAGAAAAAAAGGCAGAGATCGTGGCAACGTCGGTGCATGAAACTGCAAATCTTTCGGATTCCGATGGACCGGTATGCACCGACGGCCTACGAGAGAGGTCTTCCCCTAAGTTCGGACCTAAATATGAAATACGAGCTCGCGTTAATATCGGAGTCGACGCGGGGGCTATTCGATGTAAATGCCGTGACGGCGCGATCGCGATATCGAAACGTATCGCGGGTGAAAGGCGAATCGAGTTTCGTCCGAACGCGAAGCGTAATATTCTTCGCGGCGAAGAAAAATCCGATCTAATCGGCGTATAATTCCATTTTTTCTCAGCTTGTATCGATTCTTAGACTCATTATATATAATCGCCCATAGAAATTAATCACATTATTGTATAAAATATCGAGATATGATAATGAAGTATGTCATTTCAGAATTTATCTTCCGGGAAGTGTCTTAATCGCGTCGCACGAGGACGCGAATTCCGTCGGATTAATCGGAAAAGGTGCAGTTTCCGCAATTCAACGAGAATTTGACGTGACACTTCCGCGAGGAAGAGGCCGCGTCCTCCTCGTCTTTCGGTCGCGCACGGTTGAACGACTTCTCGTGGACCGACTACAATATGGAGCGAGATTAGAGAGGAAAAGAATAGTGCGTGCGTGCGCGGAGGAGGGTGAGGTGATAGCCGGGGAAAGGGGATGGTAGAAACAAGATGAAGAAGAAGAAGAAGACGACAACGAAGACGAAGGCGGCGCTAAAAAGAAAAGTCGGTGCACGAATTGAGACGCAATTTGATCCACGCTACGAAGCACCAGCTGAAGTTGGTAGTCCTCGAGCTCACTTGACGTGAATGAGATGACAGGCATTGTCCGACATGTTCTCGTGTACTCGCGCTCTTGCTCCCTCTTTGATCGTATGTATAATGCGTTTCCCGCGTGCACGCGGCGCCTTTCTAGATCTCCCTTCCCTCCGCGCCGCTTATTTCCAGAGAAGAACTCATTCAACGTTCCTTAAGCTCGACATCGATTACAGCACGTCCCGCGATACCGTTCGTGACGAATCGATCCCAAGCAGTTGATTTTAAGCAAGAGACATACGGTGCTGAACGAAAATCTTTAACACGTATAACATCTTATATCTGTGATAGTTAAAATTGCAAGTCTACAAACGATATAAAGAAATCGTGACTTCAAAAAGGGATTTAAAATATTATCTAAAATATCTAAAAACTATAAACTATCTCTTCTTTATTTTAAAATATACTTTTTAAAGTCTATTCTTTTATGCCTCTCTAGATCCAGCTTTATTAAGAGGCTACAACGTTTGTTTTTTTTCAATGGCTTTTGAAACGCACAAAAATTTTGAGAATGCGAATCACTATCTCTGGATGTGTGAGCGATTATAGCTGTGATCAAAGTGATACAGAATTGACAGCTATCATAACTGCTATCATAACAGTTATCATATCCGGGGTAGACTTTTATGCGTATCACTACTAAACTACCGATAGCTCTCAGTTGAAAAGGAAAATTTCAAACAGTGATTGGGATAGTTTCCGCCAGGTTGTCTCGTTAGGCAAATAAAGTAGTATAGGTTTGTTGATGACACACACGACGAATACATACCACTTTATTTACGTACATGGCGGAAATTATCTCTACTACTACTGCTTGAAATTTGCTGCTTTTATTTAACCAGGAGTTTTAATCTAGTAGTATATATAAATTTGTGGATAATGGTTCGCATGCTCAAAATTTTTGAGCATTTTTGCGTTCCGAAAACTATCGAAAAAAAGTGTTGCAACAAATCCTTTAGTGATTGGTTGTACATATAACAACAGAACGATGTAATATGAGGAAATAAAAAATTTTGTAGAAGATAACTTCCTAGAAGTTGTTTAAGCCCTTTCTTAAAAGAGGGTTTTATTAGTTATCTATATACGAGGCATCAAAGTTTCCGAAATGTAAATCTTTCGTGCTGGAGCTACTTTGGGTTTTGCCGCTATAAATAACACGAGTTTATATCGTAAAATCTATAAAGTATAGCTAAAAGTACAAAGTGTCATTGTTTTTAGAAGTTTTTAGAAGCATCTGAGATTTGTGTTGGTGATTTTTTTAGAAAGATGAAAACAAATGATATTAAAGAATAGCAACTGTGTAAAATTTTGTTTCCTTTTAAAACCTGCTCAGCACGTTTATCGAGAGATAGATGCAGTAATCGTAGTAATGAGACATAGTAATCAAGGAAGTTTTTAAAAATAATAACGATGGAAAAAATTAAGAAAATAAATACAAAAAAGAAAATACGAAAAAATATATATAAATAAATGTAAAAATACTATTTTTTTAAAAGTTCCAGAAACTTTTAGAAACTTCTTGTTTTTTTTTACTACGATATTTCTGTATAACCGAAAATAAATTTATTAAATTTTACGCCACTTGTTAACAATAACAAATAGGAAAATTGTATTTTCGGGACTGTCAAATAATAATTAATCATTTCGTGAACATAATTTTATCATTTTCAAACACACGGGTACTTTATGGAAAACTGGAAGCTGATATCTGACTTCGCGTCTCGCGATATCTCACGTTTCCCGAGCAAATACCAAGTTAGTGAGTCAACGGTGTGTCTTGCGGTCGGCACCGATTAAAATCTCCATATGACTACGTAGGTTCCTATTTCGTCTTTTTTTTATTTGCTTACCTTACTGAAAGAAGCCGAGCTGTGTTTTACATCTCTTATGTTGCCTCGAAACACAAGGAACTAATCGGCACATTTTTCTTCTCTTTCGATCAGCGTGGACACCTTAGTAAAACTTACGAGATCTCAATTACACTGAAACAAATTTTAGAGAATGTACATATTTTAAACTGTTCAAAATTTTTGTTTTTCAAAGAAAGAGCCATTTCTCGATTAAAATCGCAAAAATGTATCTTGAAAATTTGCGCAAAGTTAAAAAAAAAAGGTGCAACAATCAAAAGATCACAACAAATTCCAAAGTCAATGTAAAGAAATATTTAATATTTTAAAATATAATTTTTTCGTTTGAAAAAGTAGATAATCGAAATCTCAAAAATTTTAATGGGACAAAATGGAATGCGTGTGGAACGAACACGAATGCACAATACAGTGAATCTTTATCTTACAAAGCTTGGAGATACCTAGATAAACGATGACAGCCACATCCAGATATTTCAAAATAAGCAGCATAGTCAACGTCACACAATCGAAAATATCACATTCGCTACTTTACAATTATTATAATTTATGACGCGTGCACGACAATAATGCAAAGTTAACGAGGCCGTAAACGTTCGCTCTTAAATTTCCGAATATCCAAATGCCGCTATCGGTATCGGCGGAGGTGCTAATGGAACTTGCTTAACGAGTCGGCGCGGCGTATGTACGTGGCCGCGGCGAGGATCTACGAGGTCTCCGATTATCGGGCCGCAATTATGTTTACGCGACTTTAATCGCGGGCTCTTGAGACGAGAGAAGGGGGGGAGGACTCTCGCCATTCCGACGGCCAGATGAAGACGTTCCCGCGGTGCGAACGATAAAAATGTCATTGCCATGGCGCCGTAAACGCCGCCAGATGCAGCGTTAAAATTACTAACGGCACTCCCCGTTCCCCGTTTCGCGTTATTACCGTACGTTTACGACGTCCTTACACCGCCCGTCGCCGTTCGTACACCCGCAACAGGTTGCAACAGGCCGTCGCCGCCACCGCCACCGCCGCCGCCGCCGCCGCCGCCGCCGCTGCCGCTGCATTCACCACCGCGCGCGCACCCGATAAGTCGCGCTTTGTGAAACGGAGCGATTCCCGCGGAAATGGGATCATTTCGGCGTCTCGCTTTCCGTTCGTCCTGCCGGGACATACCGTCGCGGTCACGGTCACCGCAAACGCCACGTCAGATTAATATATCGGCTCGCCTGAACTCGAACGAATAATGCCGTTTTGCATAGCGAGAAGAAAACGTGTTGGAATTCTAACTAATCTAATAAAAAATGTAATTTATATATATGTATATATATATATATGTATAAATTCTATAGACATAAAAGTCTATAGAAAGCACTGTCAGAGTATTTTGATTACTATTAAATAAAATGAAATGGGCCTGAAAAATGATAGATAAAATAAATTTTAGATAAAAAAATATTTTCTTTAATCAAATGAAAAAAGTGGATAAATCTATTTTGAAAAAAATTCAGACGATTTTAGTACAACAGAGCGAAACCCGCCGAAGAAAATACTTTCAACATTTCCAAGCTAGAAATTTTCTTCGCAAAAAAATATCTAGGATCAAGTCTAGGATGAGAGATTTAGAGAGATGAAGAAAATTCGAAGATTATAGCGAATGACACAGCAAATTTATCGTACTCGACGGGCAGCGCAGAGTTTTCTAAAGATTTCAAACGGTGATTTAGTTTAGTTATAGAAGCGCGATGCGGGTGGTAAGGGATTTCGCAGCGTTGCATCTATTGTCGAATATTGCGAGCAGCATGGAAACTATTGTAAACGGCAACAAAACCGCAAAATCGCTTCAACTACAAGAATAATAACGAATAATAACGAACCACATGCAAATTTCAAAAGAAAATAAAATTCCAACTGTTCAGATAATAGTCTAGGAAATCCCTAATTCCTAGTATCAAAAAATCTCTAAAACTATATTTTAGAACAGAAATAAAAATAACAGATTCAAAAGCTTTTGATTTTCAATGTTTACTGTTTCAGACACACGTGCGCATATGTTCTTGAAAATTGAAAATTGTGACTGATTCGTTCAAGATTGTTAAAGAAAAATTAATAATACATATCTATTAATACATCTTACGTTGTAATATGTATTTGCAATTTTTAGAGATTTTAATATTAAAGTTTATGCGAAGGAATATATCAGTTCCCACTGTGCTCTTCGGTTGCAAGCGTTGCAGGCGTTGCAGCAGAAGGAGGATATTTTGGAGTTAGCTGCCCCCTAATCGCATAACTGTGTCCGACGCAATTAGAGTTGATAAATTCTTCAAATTACCGCGAATTCCGATGGTTCGCCCGTGGTACGTGAGCCCCGTTACAGCGTCGTGAATTCTTGCATCACAACAAAATATTTGCTTTTTCGACGCGCCCTGTTTGTATAGGTGCACGCTTGGCTCCACCAAGCTCCCCGATTCTTTCTTTCGGTTCTCCTCGCCTCTCTTTTCGTTTCGGAGGATCTTTCATCTCCTTTTCTTCGGCTTGCTTCGAAGGGTTTTACTATCCCAGCTGAAAACGTCCGCTCAAAACAACATGTGACGAATACGCATCGTTTGTGCGCACAGAAAGTGCGTGCTTCTACGCGTTCCCAGGACCTGGGAGTACGCTTCGGAATTTTATTTTACGAGACCAACTGGTGACAATAAAACGTCACGACGGACAGTAAAACAGTAAGATAGTAAAGCCACGGTGAATGCGCACACTCGTCGCTTTTCAGAAGTTCTGTTGTGCAGGAGATGATATATATTACCATCTGCTAGAGTGACGCTACGTTAAATAGATCGAAATAAATTTTTTCAAAGAAAAAGAAGAAAAAAGAGAAACCACTTTACCCGACGCGTATAATGTGACAAATATTATAAATAGAAATTACAAGGTATAACTTTTAAAATAAGGTAACGATTACACATCTAATACAAATTATTAGATAATTAATTTAATTTTTTATCCAAGTAGCTTGTTTTATGTAAATGCATGTGAAAATTTATATTATTCTCAATGCTCTCTCTCTGTGCTCTTCATATCACATGTCCGTTGTAGTGACACTTTCAAAGATTTGCATAAATGTACATACAATATGTTTACATCTGTCAAATCGATGCGAATTGCAAACTTTCGAATTCATATTGCGACAAATAATTACGCGTAACCGCCGATAATCGCTAATTGCCCGCAATGATGGCGGTTTGTCTCGCAACGTCGATGCCCCCGTGCTGGAAATCAAGTCATTCGCGTTGCATTACGATCGCATTATGATTACCCCCGTGGTAATTTGCGAGCGGCGTAATGCCTCCTCATGCCTCCGTTGCGTTTTGCAACTCAGATTGCACTTTTAGCTCGGTGGCCTCTCTTTCTCTTTCTCTCTCTCTTTCTCTTTCTCTCTTTCATTGTCGGCAATGCCCGCGAGGTACATCAATGCTTCTTCTTACGCACGCAACAATAAATGCTTGCGATTTCGTTTGACTCTTTCTCTCTCCATGCGCCTCCGGAATCACTCTCATTATTTCGCCGCGTTAATGTCAAGGTCGTACGTTCAATTACCGCGTCGGCAAAAATTGGCCGCGCGCTATAGTGTATTGAGCATTTTTTCCCTGAAACTCGCGATTATCGCGATAGCCCGAGATTCTAAAAATATCTACAAGTCGAGATGATGAACATCACATGACATAATAAAAATGCGAATGTATTATAATAAAGTCTGTTCTACAATATTCTCCAGATAGCTTCAGTGAGAATATATTTTAAGATTCTGAAAGCGTAATATAAGAACGCAGAATGGTCGCGAAAAATTTTAATTCAATAGTCTTCATGCAGTTTAAAATCTTTTTAAGTATAATTTTAAAATATTTAAACAAAAAAGTATACAGTGTTTTTTGGTACGATATAGAAATTTAATGCACGACGACAATAATCAAAAGAAATACTCTTCGAAGTAATTGCGTGGTCTTATAGTCGACATTCTGACATTTATAATAGATAAATCAGACTATTCTTAACCGCTGTGAAAAGCTTCGACAGCTACGAGTGTACAAATTACAACGGCTCATACGAGATACAATAACGGTAGTGCAACAGTTGCACCCCGCGGACACAGCCAGCAAATCGAAAAAGGGGTTGCGGTGAGAAAAGTACGCATTGACGCGTAATTTGCCCGAACCCGGAGGCGTGCCCGTCAAATCGGATTAAATCGGGAACGTGTAATTTTTTACCCCTTGCCACCCTCTCGCGACGCCCGTTCTGAATGGCGAGTCGCAGTACCCGTCGCCGTTCCGGCATCGTGAAAAACGAACGAAATTCGCGTTGTCGACGCGAGAGCTAGGACGGAAGGAGAGTTTCACGTTACGCGAAAGGAAAGCTCACGCCCGTCGGTGTCCCGCGTCGCGCGAACGACGACAGCGAGGGAGCCTCTCTGCGCGCGGCCGGAAGTAAATATTATTCTCCTCGTAGATGCATCGAGGTGCACTCCCAGGCACGGACAATGCCGCGATTGTACACGGGACTGGCGGCCATTCATTCGGCTAGAAGTGCAGGCGTCGCACGAAAATATTCGCTAGGCGACTGGTTGGAGCCTGGAGACAGGGATGTAGCGGGATTATTTTTCAAATTTTCCGGCGAAGCCCCCGACGTCTCCTTTGTCGGGGCATCCGCACGCATTCACGTGTGAGACGCTCCGTTGGAGAACCAATCTCTGCTCGCCCGTCTCGTTATCTCGCGCATCTTCTCGGTCGTATTGGCGCGCAAAGGTGCTCACGCTGCACCGGGCCCTTTACGAATTTTCCTCCACTTTTAAGTGTCTTAATAGATTATCCCTGTTTTGTAAAGAAAAAAAAAAATAGCGTGCTCCGTGACTATTAGTAGATTTATTCTCCGCTTAGAGGAACGCAGAAAGCGCAGAATGCATTATTGTAAGATCCTACAATATTCGTCCTACAATAGATCGTCCAGATTATTTCTGCGAAACTCATTTTTGAGATTCGTCATCAGATATTTTAATAAATAAAATATGTTATTTGTACAAAATATATATGATAGATGAATAATAACTTTTTAATCGCACAGTTTTTTTTGCAACTTGTATTAATAAACATATTTTTATAAATATTGATATACTATAAGTAATTAACAAATAGCATTGTCACAAATCAACTCAAATAATCATTTGATAAAATTGATAAAAATTGATATATTTAAAATAAGTAAATTTTCATAATTATATTAAAGAGCGGATAAAAATGGCGAAATAAAAAAATAGCAAATGCAAATCCACGTTAATAAATTTAAGTCGAGAAATTTTTAGCGGGAATCTTCTAAGTGAAGAAGAACCTGAAACGGCAAAGCAAAGGAGGAAGGGATGCCGGACTAGCCACCCCCACTGGACGAGTCCATTTGTCCGAGTAGGGGTGGTAAGTCGTTCTACGATTCAACGTGGCATTCCTGGCAGGGAAGATTTATTTTTCTGAAGAGAACGCCTAATGGCGTACCACGAACCAAGAAACTCTAAAGTGGCTAAGTTACGATCTTGTAACGGAGGCTTCCACAATGTCGATTTCTCTGCCTTCCTCCCCCATAATGCCCCTTCCATCGCCCGTCAGCTTATTTCTTCAGTCGCTTTTCCAGTTTTTCTTTCTGCCTTGCAGCCAAAAAAAATACGCTAAATGGATGCGCATTCTTATAGCGATGTTTTATGATTTTCTTTCTTGCCAAACACACCAAAAACAACGTTCTTTTCTCAGACGCGATACGATTAATAATTTGTTGCTTTTGTGTACCTTCAAAATTGTGAGTATGCATCATGTCATTTTAACGACACTCACTACAGAAATATGATAATTATATGTACGCGCGATAAAAGTAAGTTTTACTTATTATCGCGCGTACATATAATTATCATATTTTTCTTAACAAACTGATCATGCTTTGTTAAATTTGTAGGATTTTTTATATTTTGCGTTATTTTCTTAAAAAATATTTTGAGAAAAGTGTAAGAAAAAAATTAAAATTTGAAAATCTTCATTAATTTATTCATAAAAAAACTGGCTCTTGCTATTGCCTGCACCCTTCCCTTCGTAGCGCGATATATCGATACCATTCTGCATCCCAATAGAATGCACCATTTTATTAAAACCACACTCGCACACAGATAAATGTGCGGACCCGTCGAAGACGAAGGCCCATAACGGGTCGGGAGGTGGAAAACTCGTAGGAAACTCGTCGGCGGATTTAACCTAGGAAAACCGGTTTCCCGCAAAAGATGCATGCCGATGTCGATGCTGGCGCAACGAAAAGCGAATGTTTTTCGAAAGGAACGTAGATTGTAGGAAAAAAAGAGTGCATTGCAGGCTACCACGGGGGTGAAACCTGTTGCCAAGGCTTCCTCCCTCTGCTCCCTTTGGTTGTCCACACGACAGAGCCCTAGAGTTTCTCCCACCCCTTCGTTTTTCGAACGCGCCATCATGGAAGGGAGTTACGTTTCCTTTACTTTACGAAATAAAATCGTATCTTCAGAATGTATAAGTTGACTTTTTCAAGATCAAAGACAGAAGGAGAGAGAGAGAGAGAGAGAGAGAGAGAGAGAGAGAGAGAGAGAGAGGGAGAGAGGGAGAGAGAGAGTCTTTACCTTTCTCGGCTCTTCATTTCTTCGTTCGCTTCTTTGCGGTTTTACAAATATGCTGCCACCAAGTCTTTATGACCGATGATTACACACCTCGGAGCCAATAGGAAAGTCTCATTAACGTCTGCCAATTGAGTCAGAATTCTCTGTCTCTCTTTTCCCGTTTATCTCTGCCTCTGAAAATTGAGGTTTCTGTGAGTAAGATTAAAATTTAAATTTATGATCGTTATCAAATTCAAGATCACTAAATCAACTTTTTTCCGATGAACAGGATTTCTAATCGTTTTCGTACAAGTCTAAGCGTTACACCGGGATAATATCTTTCACGTCGTTTTTATTTGTCAACGAGAAGAGAATATGATGCGCTTAATTATAAACCATAATTAATGAAATTTGATCGATTTAAGAAAGGGATGCTGCGACGGTGAACCGTGTGAGGTCAATGCAGAATGCCGAGTCGTGACTTTAAATGATGCCACAGAGAAGCATGATCTCATGAAATAAAAATTAACCGTCCGCCCGGGCCACGGTCGTCGTTGCAGATCGCTGCGTTATTTACTGCGTCGCTCTTTACTCAACTGTTGAAGTAACGGCATTAACGGAAATGGGATTTATTTTTCAGACGAACGGGCAGCGCGATAATGAATTCGTAACCCATTACCGAACGAAATTAGGAACCCGACGTGTCGATATATCATATCGGCGCCGGCCACTAATGACTCGATGCGTCACGGATATTCACGCGGCTGCCGTGGGAGTCGGCGATGATCCACCGTAGCGAATAAAAGTGAGAAAACTATTCGAGGATAGTCGTCGAGAGGGCGAGGGAAGGAAAAAAATATGATACGGCCTCCGTCGCGCCTTGCAACGGGCGCGCGAGATAAATTCTCGTACAAAATAATCGTCCCGGAACGATTACCCTTCCAATAACTCTTCGGATTTTCTCTTTCGTTCCCGCACCTTCGCATGGCGAAACGAAAACAAAAATCCGACAGGAGGAAGCGCCTCGAATTCCGCGCGCGCGCAGTATCGTCCTCATCCTCGTTCTCCTCGTCGTCGTCGCCGTCGTCCTCGTCGTCGTCAGCCGTGGTGGAAAGCAATTAAGCTTTCCCCTGATTTATTCCGGGCATAAATAATTTCGTAGAAGTACTAATTATCGCCGGTTGAATCTATCTCCTATCTCCCCCTCTCCTCGCCCGTGTCTACCCGCTGTCCTTTTCCCTTCAGCAACCGCCGTTTATTCGGTCTTTCCTTCCAATTCGGTCTCTCTGTCTCTCTCTCCCTCTTGATCTTCCTCCTATCCGCGCCTCAAGATGAAAGCACCCGCTTCTGCGTGGCCAAACTTACCGTGAAGCGATAAATTTCTAGAAACAATAGGAAACTCCGGGGCTAGACAATAGAAGAAATATATATACCGCCTAGTATTCGTGGCCCGTAGACGGAAGCGTGGCTTCAGGTTTATTTTGAGGAAAAAAGAGAGCGGCCGCGGGGGTACGAAAGGGAGAAAGATGAGTGAGAAAGAGAGCACAAGAAAGAGGGATGGACGGGTGGATGGGTGGCTAGGGGGGGGAGGGCAACGGAAAAGAAGCGGCACATTTCTCATGCCTCACGGCGGAACGGGGAGGGAGAAAACCCTACGGATTTTCCACGGGGAATGCAAATTCGGATTGAAATATCACGGGAAAATGTAAAGGACCCGATGAGATTTGTACGCGTCGCCGCGCGTTGCGAACGCGTCTCGCGCGCGCGCCGTTGGAAATAATTATCAGAAGTCTTCTCTCTCTCTCTCTCTCTCTCTCTCTCTCTCTCTCTCTCTCTCTCGAACACGCGGAAAGAGATCGAAGGGATGGAGCGCTTTCAAGGGAAACACAAGTTTTGAGAAAATTTATGTTCTATCAATGAGGGGATCAAATCGCTATCATCTATATCCATTCTATTAAAAGCCATCGCCTTCGTTCCATAAGCAATTAACGTTCGCCAGAGATGAATTCGGATTTTCTGCCGCCTTGAGTCGTAATGATGTATTGCCGATGGAATAATTTCCCATTGAAAATAACATATTTCTCATCCATATTTAGCTGCCCTTTAAATTTTACCGTCATAATTTTGATATTTTGATAATAACCTATTATCCCAATATTAAAGCTAATTGATAAAGAACAAGGGAGAAATATTCGATAAAATGAAAAAGAAAGAGTAAATATTTTAGAATTCAAAGTATATCATATTGAGAAAATAATGTAAAAGTATAATTTATTATCTTTGAAATGCGTGTTAAATACAAAATATAAATTTAATAGACATAACTATAAGAGTTAATGTTTTTCTTTTCTTCTTTAACTTATTTTTCTAATAAACATGTATAACATATTCTCTATAAAGATTTCTTAAGAAACGCTAATAAAAAATTTAAAAAATATATTTGGAAAGAAACGAAGCTTTACGTAATAATATAAGTCGCGTAACAACGTTATGGCGTTGCGTGCAAATTTCTGAAGAAAAATGGAAAAGACCAAACAATTGCATGCCCAATCATTTTTATTTTACGCATTTTCCATTTATATAAGTCTCCCTCTCTCGGGAAAAACGCTCCACAACCGAAAGGTATTGTGCGCTTTCCGAGTCGAAACGGTCCGCCGACTTTGACCATTCGAACCGGGATCGAATCCTCCGGCGTGCGAGATGGAGGCTCGTTGATTTTCTACTATTCAAAATAATGAGAAACGTCCGTCGGAACGTCAGTCAACGTCACGCGGCGTCGCTCCACCCCCTCGATAGTCCGAAAAAGGCGCAACAAAACATGGAAATCGTCTATCCTAGCCTTGCACAACTGACAACGGCGGTTCAAGCGAGGCACGTTAATTGCACGGTGTTTCCAAATTAAATGCTGGTCAATGTGGGATAAAAAGAATTCGAGCCGCTCGCGCGATCACTCTTTCTCCATATTGGATCGACTACTTGGGAAAACACTTTTAATTAAATGGCGCGCCGAGATTGATATTTAAAGGATCACGTAAAAGAATCGTATCGTGCTTCAAAAAATTATGAAGATTATTATTTTAAAATTCAGTTTACGTTCGCGCAAAAAGTAAACGTTTTAAAGTAGCATTTTATTGAAGAACTAAACGCAAAATAGTTGATAATTCGTTGATAAATCTATCGTGTGAAGTATTATAAATTCAATAAATTATCCATTCTGTTTCATCGTACTATGTATTGTTTTATCTTCTTGTGGACAACGATAAACGTTCCACTTAAGCTTACAAGGAACTGGAGATGAAAAATAGACGAAATTAAATGTTACGTTACCGATGATATTTTTGTTATTAAGTAAAATCTGCGAAAAAGGAAAATCTGGGCGTAGCGGATGTTGCATTAATCTTTACCTCCTATTGTGATTATTCGTTAGCAATCATAAACTTCTTGTAAAGGTCCTTTTTTGTGAGAATGCCAAAAATGCCCTATGCAAGATTGTTTTATGAACTGTCAAATTGCACTCTAGAATTTTGATTCAAGAATTTGGAAATTAAATGCAATCATTAGATATATTATATGATACATTCTACATTGCGAGAAATTTACAATTATATAATATAAAATATATTAAAATATATATTTAAAAAATGTGAATTATAAAATATATATTTAATATTAATATTAGATTGGCATGCCAGCATTTCTATTTTAACCATAAATGTTTGTTTTTATGAATAAATTTAAATTTTTTTAAATTTATCTATCTTCATGATTCTCAAAATATTTTTTTCTTCGAATTATGTATTCAAAGAAATAATTAAATTTCTTATCAACAATTGTGTCAAGCAGAGCTTTTTGATAAATAGATACGCTGATTTATTTATTTAAAAATGATGACAGTTAATGTTATTCCTTGTCTGACTCCCCATAACAAGATTTCTACCAAGTTTTTGGTGAAAAACACACTTGCTGCAACACTGTGCGCCAAGGGCGGTCTAGTAGGCGGAAACACGCTCACAGAACGAAACTCGCCTCACCTGCCTGGCGATATATTTTTCGTCGCAGATGGCACAGCAGATGATCGATCACCGAAAATAAGAGAGAGAAATCCCGACCTCAATGACTAATCTCCGAGTTCGAGCTCGGAGTTCACCACGTAATGCAGCGTTCGAAGGTGGAACGAATCCGTATTTGATTAGAACATCCTCGATATAACGTAAAACATCGAAGCCACGCAAACATCGAAGATTAAGAATATTCGACGGTCGTTCGTGCATCGCAGCTTGCGTAACGTAATAGGCGCAGCCAAAGAAAAATTGAGAGTTGCACGACTTACAGCTTAAATTACAGGCCATCGACTGGCGTCATCGCGCAAATCTAACGCTCGTTCGAGGAAAGATTGGAAGAGTTCAGAGAGAAAATTTTTAAATGCAAAACAAGTTTATACTGATTTTTAAATTGCATAATTAATGTTTTTTTTTTTTAAGTAAAGAACGAGAGCATCACACTTTTCGTATATCTCTCAGTTGCGTATCTACGCTTCTTTGTTCACGCCGTTGCTCGTACGCAACGTCGCTCGCCCTCGATTTATCTGGCATCTCGCGAAGCCGAGGTAGGAACACGAGCCACAGAGTGGATCGACACGGATTCACCTTATCCGCGATATCTACGCGTGGCTGGAAGTACTCCGGGAGATGCCTGCTTTCTTCAGCACCGCGTAGACGTAGCCGAGCAACCAACGCCAGCGTCGATCGCCGTAATTTACGGCGTCGATGTCGCCGCTATCGGCCGATTCCGATCGGCTGCGGACGAAGACTTCGAGACGAGCGGGAAGATAGGAAGAAGAAAGCCGGCGCGCGCGATCGCGTCGAGGTCGTTATGCGAAGCGAGTAATGAGCGAGTACCGAAGGCAGAACCACGTCTGTCGGGTGAGAACATGAGCTGCACGTGAAACGCGCGTGTTTTCCGTTATTTCGATTATTTGTTGATTTAGAGTATACGAGTTTTCCTCTTTCAATTTGTATGCATATATGATATATACATATATATATTTTTATATATTATACTATAATTATATTAATTTTATATTATTTATATTATATTAATTTATTCGATTGACATTGATTGGCGAACCGCGGAAAAATTTCGCGTTCGTCATATCGACGCGTTCTTTCGAAAGCCAAACGAAAAAGATGAGAAA